CAATCACCCATAGCAAGTTGGTGTGTGTGTGGGGATTTTTTTTTTTTGAGATTCATGGTCCAAAAAAAACATGTGACCGAATGTTGTTGGATCTCAAATACAAAAATGTTGTAGCACTGAAAATGAGAAACCCATTTTTCCCACACGGGGTTTTGAGAACCAGAACATAACAGAACCACACATAACAATGCAGAAGCGAATTACAAATAACTATGTGCAAATAATGAGCTATTAATATTTCATTGCATTATACTTGGTCACTAACAATAGCTTCAGAGATGCTAATTTTGAACGGGTTGACCCTACTATAAAAGAGATACCCATGTTTTTAACACAAACATATTTCTAGACAAGTGTCTGTCTTGATACTTTTCACATAAACCCAGTTCTTCTACGGTATCTCTGTTTCTCACACGAGCACATGCTCTCAGACGTTTCCAGTGTTACGGGTTCAGGCAGATGCTTTCTGAGCTGTCAAGGAGGAGGGGTTTGAGTTGTGGACTCTGGCATGGTTTAACCTGTTACAGTCAGGTTTTGCCCTGCAGAGGGTCAGTGGAGAATTGTACATCACACTATTCATCATCGACTGATAGCTGCTTCCAAGAACCAAGAGTTCTAGTTTCACCACATACAAATCCTTTCACCTTAACTATTCTTATAAGATTAAAGATTCATAATTGCTTTTCATTGAATGTTCATATGACCAAAAGGTTGAGGAAATGCCCGTTTGATTTTAATCCCCTTCAAAAGTCACTTTGTTTTTGGGGTGGAGGTAGTTTACAATAGAAGTCAAAGCGGGAGGGAATGTTTACTGGACCGTGATGTTGTTCAGGCCTCCCTGTGGCTCTCGAACATTTATCATCAGTAGCCATTAGCATCTCTGAAGCACCCCGCTCGTAGTGTTAGTAATGACACTCGAAACCGCCTCCTCTTAAGTGGCCCACCACATTAAACGGGCAATTTAATCAAAGGCGATTCAACAAATGCTTTCGCCCTATTGATGTTTTCGTTTTGCCGAAGAACCATTTGCAAACGGCTTTGATATGGGTGGTTCTTCCACAATGACAATGAGACATATTTCCCTTTGATATCTATTCATGGCATCAGACATTCATACAGTGACTGTGGTCAATGACATCATGCTCATGATCCAGTTTTTTACAGGAGATGAATTGGTGACACAATGTCATCTGGCAGTTAAAGAGGTTGCTGCATGATTAAAGGCAGGAAATATTGCTTTTTGCTTTCTGGAATGGCACCCTTTTCAGTGAGTCACAATTGGTTTAGCTTTCTTTTATGCATTTCACTCCTGTGTGCCTATATATGTAATTGCCTATGTTATGCCTGGCAATAAAACCGAAAAGATTGCCATACTAAAGCCAATATAATATTAAAAGGATATTGCATTCAGAACTGACATTTTACTTTAAAATAGGCTAAACTGTCTTTTTTTTTTTTTCAAATGAATGAAATATGGTAATTAAGTAGATTAATCACATGTATTGTATTGTATTACATTGTTGTAGATTACAAAACTTTGAATAAACAACAACAAAAAA